AAAAAAAAAAAAAAAAAAAAAAAAAAAAAAAAACACACACACACAAATAGGGGTCAAGGAAGCTTTCAATATGCTGAGGCCCTGTACCATCCTATCAACGAGTTGTGAAACCATGAAAATGCTGCAAATAACAAAATACATAACTAATGTTTATGAACAAGCGTACTGCATGTATATTGATTTTGGATTTTGGAATATGTTACTTGTTTTGAGAGAAACTTTGAAGAAACACCCAACTTGGGTTTCATATATTTGGGCATTGCTATACAGCTAATTGAAGGATATTACTTGATATAAAACGAATTCAAATATATCATATTTTTTTGCCTTCGCTAAACAACTAATTGCTCTCAATTACCAATATTTAACCAAAACTCTATAAATCATTAATTTTATAAATTGCAAAAACAAGTGCAAAGAAAACACATCAATAACGCACGAGACATGTACATACTTATTAGAAATACTAATGCATTTTAAAATTGTAAGCAGTTAATGTACGAAAGCAGATGATTTATAACCACCTCCAAAATTTACCTTCCTGATACAATAAATATAAGGATTCTTATAGTTTCAGAAGTCTTGCAAAGTTTCTAGCCTGATATTGTGTTGAACATATACCAACTGCACTATACTACATTAAGAATTGATTATTAGTGTTTATCCATGGTTGATTTAAAAAGGCATTCTGTGCCTGTGCCTGCATTAAAAAGAATAAAAAATAATTATTACTTTTAAAAACATTTATGATGTATGTAAAATAAAAAATGTGAAATAAATAAATAAGAAACAAAAAAATATAATTAAAAAAATACAAAAATAAAATAGTTATTAAAAGGATATCCTTTTTGCATAATGGGTATAAATTATGAGCTCGATATATTTATACCCGGTGACATGTACTATGGAATGATTTCCATTTTTCACCTCTTTTTATAAACTTACTTTATTTTACTTCTACTTTATCAAAAGCCATGAATTTCAAAAGTTTCGCTCAACATCTTTAACTTAGTGACATGTACTATGGAATAATTTCCATTTTTCACCTTTTTTTATAAACTTTATTTTACTTCTACTTTATCAAAAGCTATGAATTTCGAAAGTTTCGCTCAACATCTTTAACTTACCGTAAATTTCCTCCGTAACCCTTCAACACAAATATTTATCTTCAAAATCACTTTTATTTGCATGACATCTCCAATGTCTTAAAATTATCATTAGAAAACTAAAAAAATAATTTTATATTTTGAAAAGATAAAAATAAAGAAATATATTTTAAAAATAAAAATAAAAATGTACTTATTATATAAAAATTAAAACGTATTTAAACTTTACTTATATTAGTGCGTCATCTCACACAAAGCATATAAGGGTATAAACAGAGTATGACATTATAAGATCATTCATTGATATTATATATATATATATATATATATATATAAAAGAATAAACATAAAAAGACAATGACTATTACTTTTAAATTTTTAGTATTTATGTTATTAATAAAAATAATTTTTTAATAACATCAATTTTTTTGTCATTACGGTCTCTTATCTTATTTCATTTAAAATAAAATCAAAAAAATAAAAAAAAAATTAATAATTAAACTGTTCAAAAATGACATTTGTCCTCTAACTATTATAGGGGTTTAATAATAAGGTTGAAATAGTATTTAGATAATATTTTTATTTGAATTTGGATAGGCCATTATAATTTCCTTAATAAAAAAGAAAATAACAGATATGAATCGAGGCCTTTTTTTTTTTTCTTTTGTTTTTATTTTATCTTTTGTGATAATCGCCATTCACAGCTGTTCTTTCATAACTGAAGTAAGTTTGTCTCCATTCTTCATCATGCTTCTTCACTTCATTAGAATGGCAAAACCAAAAGTCCCACACTCTCTCTTCTTTAAATACATACACTCTTTAGTCTTTACCAACTTCACATCATCTTAACATAACTGAGTAAAACAAAAACAATCCAATGAACTCGCGAAGTCACAACCGCAACCCCATGCACCCGATCCCCACGTCGGACCAAACCCTCCACAACGTGACCTTCCACTCTGACACCATCCTCACCCTCCTTACCTCAAGCCCCTCCGCTGTTGACAGCTGGCTCTCCGACATCCTCCGCCGCCACCGCCGCCGCAAGAACCTCCTGGTGGGCCTTGACATCGAGTGGCGGCCCAACAACAGGCGCGACATGAACAACCCTGTTGCCACCCTCCAACTCTGCGTGGGGCGTCGCTGCCTCGTGTTCCAAATCCTCCACGCGCCGTTCATTCCACATTCCCTTGTCTCGTTCCTCGGTAACTCCAACAACACGTTCGTTGGAGTAGGGATCGAAGGCGACGTGCAGAAGCTTCTAGAAGATTGTTCTCTCCAAGTGGCCAACTTCCTTGAGCTTCGATCCCTCGCTGTGGAGAAGTTTGCTGAGCCTGTGTTGAAGGGCGCTGGGCTTAAGACATTGGGCCTCCGCGTCTTGGGCCTGGAGGTTGACAAGCCCAAGAAGATTACTAGGAGTAGGTGGGATAATTTGTGGCTCACTGCTGAACAGGTGGAGTATGCTGCTGTTGATGCATTTGTATCTTTTGAGATTGGACTCCGTTTGAGTTCAAATAATTAACGGGGTTTGGTTCTTTTACGACCTTTAAGTAGTATTAGAGTTGTGAGCATCTGAATGTTTTATGTTATGTTTCAGAATTTGAGGCCTTCATAATGTTATGCAGACAATTATTATCTTCAATTATGCATGTTTTGAAATGTCCTTTGTGTTATTTTATATTTCTATTTGTAACTTATAAAGGAAATAGATATGTTTTAATTTGATGTACACATTTTTTCCTATAAAATCACTGTATTTTTGTCCTTCTTTAGTTTTATTTTTATCTGTAAATTTCAATCTACAAATCATCCAAACTCTTCAATTAACCATTCACTATTTTTTTTTCTCTGGATATCATTTTTATTATTAAAGAAAATAGGGACCACACGGAATTTTTTTTCTCAATATATAATCATTTTGATTACTAACATAATTTGCACTAGTCCTTTGCAATACATAAGCTTTACTGAAATATAAATTATAGTTTTTGTATAAAATAGATATATCTTTTGTGGATTGCTTAAACTGAAATATTAAATTTAAATTATGCTGATAAAAAGTTCGTCTTTCATTTTTTTTTCTTAGCTTTTTATTAGATGTAAATTGAAATAATATCAATGAGTTTATACTAAGATATAGATCCGTTTGTTTATACTAAAAAAGAAGTATTTTTAAACATTTTTAAAAAATAATTATTTAAAAGAAAATAGGAATTAATTCTTAAAAAAAGCATAGAGGTACGTTTTTAAAATAAAAAAATGGTTTAAAAAAACATATTACAAGGGTAAAAAAAATGTTTATTTTATTAAAAAAAATCATTAAGTTTTAGCATATTAAAATTAGGATTTTAATTAGAGACATTTAAAACAAATGAAAATAAAATGACTAAATGAGTACCATTAAAAGATAATTTTCATGACACAATATTCTTTAATGAATTAATGAAACTATAACGATGCTAGGAAGTGAAATAATTAATTGTAATTATTACGAAAAAAAAATTATTATGTGATGATACAGATCTTATAATAATGCAATATTTATCATGAAAAATTATTTTTAACTATATTATAGATAAAATATATATTAGTATGTTATAAAAAATAATGTTAGTATAAAATATAATGATATATAAAATATGTTATTAAATCTCAATTAAAATTAATATTAGAATTGTATATAGTTATATGTTAAATAGATTTATATTTAATATATTATATTTATAGTAATTTTTTTACTATATATAATATTTCTTTTAGTATAAGAATTTTAAACTATAAAGATGTTTTTAATATATTTTTAATAATAAAGAATTAATTAGCATTTTTAAAAACTATAAAAATTTATAAATTAATTTAACTTTTAAAGAATGAATTTCATATATATGATTGTATTTCAATTGTTCATTTGGTCTAAACAGTGACTATGAATTGAGTTCCTGTTGATTAAGGACATTACTTAATATTTTTTTATTAATTTTAATATTCCTTAACTAAGAAGGACATTAATTAGCATTTACCATATATTAATTAATACATTTAAAGGAATAATATGAACAACTTAACCTATCTACGAAAATGAGAAAAGAATACTAGGAGACTTAAAACGTCTGGAACCTAGAATTATTACAAATCTAAAAATATTAGTTTAACTTGAAGATATATGGTTAAAAATCTCTTTTCGTCTCTTATAATATTTAATTGTTTCAATTTAGTCCTACTTGAATTTTTAGTTTCAATTTAGTCCCCAAATGATTTAAACGGAGTTAATTGGTGGCCATGTGGATGCCAGGTGAATGTCACGTAGGTAGATCCCAAAATACTTGAATACACCTGGAACCAGAACGACCCGTTCTGAAACCAGAACGGCCCGTTCTGGTTACACTATTGGTGTGTAAATTTTGTACCTATAACGGGTCATTCTAGATACAAAATTAACACACCAACAGTGTAACTAGAACAGGCCGTTCACAAAGCATTTCAAACATTAGATTTGGTAATATTGTTAATGAAGATTAATAATTTCAATTGCTAAACATTTGGGCTATACAATATATCATTAAGGACGATGCAGTGTATTACTAAGGACAATGGTAACAAGTTGTATTTCATTGTTAGTCAAACTGGAGTGAATCACTTACTACCAAATTGACACTATACAGTCAAGGATGAAACGAAACAGTATTTCTCCTTGAAGTTATTGACGATGTACCCCAACAATAACAACCAGTTCTTGAGGAGGTACAACTTGAATTTTTGTGGTTTAGGATTTTCCTTCATCGTTACCCAGATAATTTCCTTTCTCAATAATTTCTTTGAACTTTTTTAGTATATTTTATGTTTTGAATTTTTATTTTCACTTTCTGAATCATGTTTCTGTCTTTGAATTTATGATATATTATAAATTTTTATTTTTAATTTTTGAATTACATTGCGGCATTTTAGTCAAGATTTTGAACTAGATAAGTTCAAATCAAAGAAGAATTTTGGAAGGTCTTATCTTATTTGATTTTTTTTAGTTTTATTCATAAATAAATATTAATTTATTGTATTTTTTTATTTATTATATATTTATTAATATAGATATAATAAAGAAAAATACAATAAAAAGCATGGCGTTCTAGAACGGGCCGTTCTGAATTCAGAACGGCCCGTTCTAAGAGCAAAACGACCTGTTCTACTTCACTCATCTATTGTGTTAAAATTAAATTTAGAACGGCCGGTTCTAGTTTCAAAATTAACACATAACATGTTCATGTAGAACGGGTCGTTCTGGTTTCAGAATGGGCCTTTCTGGTTCCAGGTGTATTCATGCCATTTGACATCCACCTATGCATCTACGTAGGATCCACCTGACATCCACATCAGCAGGAGTTAACCCCGTTTAAATCATTTGGACAGAAGTCTCAAATTGGAATGATTTTAATTATTGAGGACTAAATTGAAACAAAAAAATCAAGTGGGACTAAATTGAAACAATTAAATATTATAAGGGACCAAAAGAGGTTTTTAACCATATATCTTCAAGTTAAACTAATATTTTTAGATTTGTAATAATTATAGGTTCCAGACGCTTTAAGTCTCCTAGTATTCTTTTCTCTTTTTCGTAGATAGGTTAAGTTAAACTGTACTAGCAGGGTTATTCGGCCACCTGGCTCTGTCACTCGGCCACCTGATAGCCGACACCCAATCGGCACCCGAGTGGCCGAACCAGGTGGCCGATTAGCCACCACATGATCCATAGATCCAGATCTCCACTAATGAAGAGTTAAGGACTCCCCCTAATTAGGGATTAAGAGTTAATCATACCAATAAGCCGATTAGAGGCGCATTACCTAATCCGGTAATCCTGTTGCAGGGCCCATGGGAATCCGGGCCCATAAATGTCAGTATAAATAGCTCATGTCACAAGGTAACGTCACTGTTCATTAATTACTATCGATACTTGTGCTTTGTCCTGACTTGAGCGTCGGAGTGCCTTTTGCAGGTACCTCCCCCCTCACCGGAATATTCGATTGGAACTCTCATTCGGCCCACCAAATACGAGAAGATTACTAGTGTGCCCTTCAGACAGGTACATTTTGGCGCCCACTGTGGGGCCGAACCGAGAAAGACTTGAAGACTTAACAAGGCTATGACGAAGACAAGGAGAATGAACATGGAAAATCACCAAACCGAGGAAGAGCACGTTCAAGTTGAGGATGAAACTGATCTCACCGAGACCGTGCGCTTGCTCAAGCAGGAGATGGCTGCAATGAAATAGCAGCGGGAGAAGGATGCAAAAGAACTTTCGGCTTTGAGAGCCGAAAATGAGGCGTTAAAGAGTCAAGACTCCTCATGGAAACCTACCCAGCCTACTAACACTCAAACACACGGATCTTACCAATCCCATGATATCCATACCTCGGCTATTCATGCCTCGGCTGCGGCACCACAAAAATTTCAATCGGCCCTGCCTACAGTTGGACATCCCACCGATGTAGCAACAGTGGGATCACACCGGCATCCTTTTACACCCTCTATCATGCAGTTGCCTTTAATGGATAACTGGAAATCACTGCCGATTGATAAATATGATGGTACTTCGGATCCTGACGAACATCTTGATGTTTTTCTCACGCAGGTAACCTTGAGCACCACGGATGATGCGGCCTTGTGTCGGATTTTTCCGACATCTCTCAAAGGCAGGGCGTTGAGTTGGTTCACTCGGCTACCTCTTAACTCAATCGACTCATTCAACACTTTGTCATCACAGTTCACCATCCAGTTCGCAACGAGCCGCCCCCACAGCTTGACCTCACTATCATTGGTAAGCCTTCGGCAAGACAAGAAGGAGTCTCTTCGGGCCTTCATGGATCGGTTTAACAAAGTTGCACTGGAAATCCGAGACCTCAATCTGGCCGTAGCACTCCATCACCTCACAACGACATTGAAGCCGGGGCCATTGTCAATAGCATTTGCAAAAAACCTCCTTCGGACATGAACGACTTACGAAGGAGAGCCGACAAGTATATGCAAATGAAAGAGTTAGCCGAATACCGCAATCAAGCCTGTGCCGAATCAGTGAGCAAGGCCGAAAAGCCAGCGGAACAACCATTCAGAGGGAAAGCCAAAGAAATAACACTGCGAGACCGACCCACTTGTGGGCCAAAATACTCTCACTACACCCCCCTGAATGCCAGCAGGGCAGCGGTGCTAGAGCAAGCCCTTGCGGCCGAAGTGCTAGCAATTCCGAAGCGAGCTTCTACCCCACCACGTGCCGATACCAGCAAAACTTGCAGGTATCACCGCAACCGTGGACATTCTACTGAAGAGTGTGCTGCCCTTAGGGATAAAATTGAAGATTTGATCAAGCAGGGACAGCTTTATAACTTCGTCGATCGGTTAGGATCATCTTGGCCTCGCTCAACATATCAACCTCGCCACCAGGATCGGCATAGACATGATAATTCTGAGAGGACTCGGCGTGACCGAAGCAGGTCTCGTGATAGGAAGGACGACCCACCGGCTGCGCATAGGAGGGTTATTAATACAATCGCAGGAGGATTCGCCGGAGGAGGTTCAACTTCCTCAGCTCAAAAGAGACATTTGCGTGCTATTCGCTCGGTTCACGTCGTTGATAGGCAGCCCTCCCGAAGATTACCAACCATAATCTTCATTGATGCTGACTTTCAAGGCATTGACACCGTGCAGGACGATCCAATGGTGATCAGCGTAGAAATTCACAATTGCATAGTCAAGAAAACATTGGTTGACCAGGGCAGCTCGGCGGATATTTTATACTGGAATATCTTCAAACAGTTAGGTATTTCCGAGACGGAGTTAATCCCTTACGATGACCCCTTGGTTGGATTCTCAGGAGAACGGGTAAGCACCAAGGGATATATTAAGTTATTCACTCGTTTTTGTTTTGACGAACAAGAAAGTAGAGTAATTCAGGTGAAATACATTATGGTGCATGCCAACACGTCTTATAATATCCTTCTCGGTCGGCCATCATTGAACATGCTGGGGGAAATTGTCTCGACACCGCACTTAGCAATGAAGTTCCCATCCGACAAAGGGAAGATCCTTACAATCCACGCCGATCAGAAAGCTGCTCGGGAATGCTACTTCGCAAGTCTGCGCGTATCTCCCGTCGAAGAACAGCGACAAAAATCCAAACGGGTTCATGCTATAGCTCCTTCGGCATCTGACGCGTTGGTCGTTGGGATCTTGATCCAAGAATGAACAATGAAGAACGTGTCGAACCGTTTGACAAGAAAGTCCACTTACAGCTCGGTGCACTTCCCACACAAGTTACATACATCGGCGCAGATATGTCCAAGGAAGACTGTTCAGTCTTAGGCCTTGTGATCAGTCGGAACAAGGACCTTTTTGCGTGGACTCCATCCGACATGCCTGGTATAGACCCGAGTGTTATGTGTCATAAATTGTCAATATGTGCTGAAGCACGACCGATTGCTCAGCGTAAAAGAAAAATGGGAACCGATCAAAAATTAGCAGTGGAAGCCGAAGTGGCAAAGTTACTTAAGGCTAGATTCATCCGGGAAGTTCAATACACTACGTGGTTGGCAAATGTAGTCATGGTTAAAAAACCAAACGGCAAATGGAGAATGTGCACTGACTACACTAATCTCAACAAGGCATGCCCGAAAGATGCTTACCCACTCCCAAATATTGATCGGTTGGTTGACGGTGCATCGGGTCATAAGATCCTCTCCTTCCTGGATGCTTATTCGGGATATAATCAAATCCGAATGCATCCTCATGATGAAGAAAAGACGGCTTTCATCACTGACACGACTAATTATTGTTATCGTGTGATGCCCTTTGGTTTAAAGAACGCAGGAGCAACTTATCAGAGGTTGATGAATAAGATTTTCCGACACCAGCTCGGCAGGAATATGGAGGTATATGTCGACGATATGGTTGTCAAGTCCGAAGGCATCGCCCGACACATCGATGACCTCACCGAGGTATTCCAGCAACTCCGCAAATTTGGCATGCGGCTCAATCCAGAAAAATGCGTGTTCGGCGTATCTGGTGGAAAGTTTCTTGGTTTCATGCTTACGGCGAGGGGCATTGAAGCCAACCCCGACAAGTGTCAGGCAATCATCGATATGAGAAGTCCCCAAAACCTCAAGGAGGTTCAGAAATTGGCCGGACGGCTCACATCTCTTTCAAGATTTTTACCATGTCTCGCAGAGATTGCAAAGCCTATTATCGGTTTGTTAAAGAAGGTCAAGAAGTTTGACTGGAACGTTGATTGTGAAGAGGCCTTCAAGGAGTTGAAACAACGTCTCGGCTCCCCTCCCGTTCTCTCTAAACCCGAATGTCAAAAGTGATTACAAATGAGGTATTTAGAAATATATAGGGAAAGATAGCTTGTAGGAGAAGCTATCCTTAACCATGGTTCATTAGGAACCATGGTAGAGTCAGCTTTAACTCCTACGGTTTAGGTGGCTTCTAGGAGAAGCTAACCTTGACCTTGGTTCACTTAAGAACCATGGTAAGGTTGGCTTAAACTCTTCATAAAATATTTTATTTCTATCTATATTATGTGATTTAGTCCACAGTATTGTATGGCCACCATTTTCCATTAATGGTCAAATACATAACTAAGTCTTCTCCACATTTGTCTCCAAAATATTATGACAACCAAAAAGCAAAAACAAGACGAAAAGAAAGATTTGGGCACAATTGGATGCAAGAAAATAATGATAATGGGTGCTAATTTAGAACTGCTAATAATAACAATGAATAAACTGATGTATTGCTCCCTTGAAAAGTTCCTCACTCAACATAAGATAATTTATTTTTGGGCATAATGACATACACACTGTCTCTCTTGCAAGAACTTCTGGATTTTGTAAACCACTTAGTTGCTTTGACGAATCGGCATCACAACAATTTATCAAAGTAGCACACATATGCTTTAATCCGTCTAGGCACTGCACCATGATCTCTTCCAAATGTCAAAACACTCCATACCTGAAATCCAGGAGGAAAGATGTTAAACTAAATAAATGTGTAAATGATGGAAATAATTTTTTTGACTTTACTCAATGATAAAGATAACACGTTTAATTTATTGGCTAATATAATTCAAGCATACAAAATGTTTACCGAGTAAAAGGGTAGAAATATAACATAACAATGCTCATGATGAATTTCACATTGCCGTCTAAACTTTCAGAATTCAAGTTGAACTCTCCTTATGCTTATGAACAATAAGCAAGAGAAAAAAAGAAGAAAAGAAAAAAGACAGGATGTGAGAGAGAACTCAAATTGATAAATCAAGTGACATGTAAAATGTAAGACAACCATTTTGAGTCAGCGTCTGCCAATAATTGATTTAATATTTACAGATCTAATAATCTTCCAATCAACAACAGGAAGTAAATATATACTCCATGTAGCAATAAATTGACGTATTTGAAAACATAGTGCATGCATAATCTTTCAAAGCAGTATGTATCAAGAAATGTTTGCACCCTATAAGAAACTATGATAAAAAATCAACTTTTGTTGTTAACACCTTTACTAGGGAATTTAACAATTCAACTATAATTCAATACCAGATCTAACTAGACCCAGCCATCCATCTTCCACCGAAAATTTCCACGCAGTGAGCGGAAGGATAGTATTTCCATCCTTTACAGAAAAAAAGTGTTTAACAGTGATAGGTGCCACCACAACAAAAGTTAGCGATTAAGTATGATTCTATAGCAGACCCAACAAAACAGATTCACCCCATTCCAAATATTCTACACCCTCAAAACTTAAAAACATGAACATAATGTTGGGGAGAAATCCAATGAACCAATCTCCCAATCAAACTAGTTACAAAAACGAGTAAGAGGCAATCCAATTCAATATAACAAAACATATTAGCTAGGTGATTGCTTCCAAATCCAGGTAATCAAAAATCATAGTTTCAACTGTAAAACACAAAATTCAGAGACAGTCGCACACCCTTTCGCAAGAATATGAGATTTTTAGCTCATTATGCAACAATCAAGGCAAAAACAAAGCAACAATGTGACAAAGGGCATGGGCATGAATTGATGAAACCCCATTACAGATTTTGAATCCAGAAACGATAACCACATCTATATATATATCCATTGATTAATACACATCAAAAACAAAAATCAAGATTTGTAATTAGATCTACATAGATTAATTAAATGATAAACAAACGCAAGTTGAAAAAGAAATTGAGGTGGGAAGTGTTGAAATTGAGAAGTGGGGTTTACCTTTTAGAGAAAGAAGAAAGGAAGAAGGGAAAGCGAATGGGAGTTGGACTGAATATTCTCGGACATGTTTGTCTGTCTTTGAAAATTGAAATTATAACTTAGGAACAAAATGAAAAAACATGAAGCTATTTGGTTTTATATATATTTATAGGAAAAATGGGGATTTTATTAAATAGCTGATAAGCATGCAAGGGAGTGCAAAATTGAACGATCATGTCCAACTCCAAATAACAAAAGTGGCTCACTTAATTATGAATTATATTTATAGAAAGTAGAAAGAATGGGTGAAATGAGAATACTAGAATGGATTATATTTGAAGAGGAGAGAGGAATTTGGAACCAACTCCCATTGAACATTGAACATTGAACATTTAACATTGCACTCCCACTCCAACCTCCCTCCCCCACGTGCTTTTTTCTAACCAAAACACTCACTACATAAAAAAATATTTAAATCCATTAGAACTACATCGTTTTTATTTTGGATTGGATGATGCACATTGCATATATTGGAATGGTTGTTGGCTATAGAGGAATGGCTGATACAAATAATATCTATCACCCTATTATTCACGTACCACTCGTTTATTTTATACCACTCGTTTATCATGTACATTCTTTATTTTATATTATTTAATACTTTAAAAAACTTTGTTTTGTCTTAATTGTCATTATTTTAAGATTTAATTACTTTTTTATCCTTTAATTAGTATTATAATTGTATAATTTTAGTTTTTTAAGTTTTAATAGAACAATTTTAATTCATCAACTATCATAATTATGTAATTTTGGTTCTCAAATTTTAATTAGACAATTTTAATCTTTCACGTATTATAATTGTTTAATTTTAAGTTGTATCACAATATACAATTTTTGACCTATTTAAGTTACATATATTATATTTTTATTCATGTATTAAATGATATGTATTTATTATTAATGAGATTATTAATGTATGTAACTTAAATTAGTAAAAATTTGTATAATTGTGATATTTAGAAGGCTAAAATCACAAAATTATAAAGACATCTCCAATAGCAGCAACTCATTTGAGTTGCTTCATGCATTGAAAAATGAGAAAAGTGTTCTCTAGTGTGTCATGTCAGTATTAAGCAACTCAAACACAAATTTACTCCAATAGTAAGAAACTTTAAGAAATTCAACTTTTAGAATTTTTTTTCTAATCATTTATGAACTAATTTTAAGATGCTTTAATCCGTCTAGGCACTGCACCATGATCTCTTCCAAATGTCAAAACACTCCATACCTGAAATCCAGGAGGAAAGATGTTAAACTAAATAAATGTGTAAATGATGGAAATAATTTTTTTGACTTTACTCAATGATAAAGATAACACGTTTAATTTATTGGCTAATATAATTCAAGCATACAAAATGTTTACCGAGTAAAAGGGTAGAAATATAACATAACAGTGCTCATGATGAATTTCACATTGCCGTCTAAACTTTCAGAATTCAAGTTGAACTCTAATGAAAGTTCCAGCTCAGTCTTATCATTCGTTACTTAAAGGTGTACTCGAAAAAGGTTTCCCTCTCGAGTAACCAACTCGGCCAAGGATGTACCTTCAAATCTTACTCAAGGTTTCCCTCCCGAGTAAGCAACTCGGCCAAGGATGTACCTTCAAATCCCAACCAAGGTTTCCCTCCCGAGTAACCAACTCGGCCAAGGATGTACCTTCAAATCTCACCAAGGTTTCCCTCTCGAGTAACCAACTCGGCCAAGGATGTACCTTCAAATCAACACTCAAGGTTTCCCTCCCGAGTAACCAACTCGGCCAAGGATGTACCTTCAAATCAACACTCAAGGTTTCCCTCCCGAGTAACCAACTCGGCCAAGGATGTACCTTCTAATCTCACCAAGGTTTCCCTCCCGAGTAACCAACTCGGTCAAGGATGTACCTTCTCATAATCAATTCCGAATGACTCCATTCGGTTTTAACTCAAAAGG